GGCAGTGTTTCGTTCTCCTGTGCATAAGGTTGCTGTGAGTTGGCACCAACTCGATGGCACCTAACAATAACAGCAACAAACCAGCCATTGTAATACATTTGTTCTTCTAGTTAAAAAGACAAAAAAACTGGGGGCTGGATTCCTGGTGTGGCACTGTGGGTAATGCTCTGTACTGCAGAGTCAGTTTGACCCACGAAGTTGTTGGTTCACATTCACCAGCCGTTCCTTGGAAATTCTATATAGGGTCACTATGGGCTGGAGCTGACTTGAAAAAAACAACAGAGTCCTGGTTTAGCACTGTCGGGTAAGCACTAGACTAATAACTTCAAGGTTGGTGGTTTACATCTACCACCCGCTCTTTGGAAACCCTGGAAGTTGGAACTGATTCAGTGGCAGTTAACAACAGAGATTGGTTTAAAATTTGTGTGCAATTAACTGTATTTTTATTCCTAGATTTCTGCTAGTCCCTAATACTCATTTATTACTTTCCAGTGTTCCTTCAGATGCAACTCATTTTTCAGTTTCGTCTTTGCAGCTCCTTTTTACTATTTCTGTGTATTCTGGAAGTCAATATTTGTTTGCTTTTACCTAGGGAAAACAGTGCTATACCTGGATTATAATGCCTGACATATTTACTGAATACTGAATCTCCCATTTACGTTTCTCAGGTTTTGCACGGGGATTTGCAGCCTTTACAGTTTACAGACAAATCAACATAGCTGCAATACATTGACAATTTGCTAGTTTTCTCAGCCTCCCAGCGGGCCTGCTTTGACGACAGTGTACCTTTATTAAAATGGTTGGCTACTGGTGAACATAAAGCTTCCAAAATAAACAAATGCAATTAACTCAGCCTGCTATTGAATATTTGAGTTTCCTAATTTCTGCAGAAGGCTGTTTTCCTAATTAACCACTTAGAATTTTCCATATTTGTTCATGAAGAAACTGGAAACACTTTAGGTGAACTAACTCAAAAGTGGGGAAGACAACAATGTGCAGTATAATTGTGGAGTAGAATTGTGCCCACAGCTTGACCCCGGAACCCATTGATGCATTCCCTGCCTTAGAGTTGTGGCTGCTATGACCAAACTCTGGTGGGAGCCACAGCAGATGTGGTTCTGAGAAACTTTTTAGATGTCTGTGTGCCTCATGCTGGGTCTGCCTTTGACAACATCTTTTCTGCTAGCAGGCTCACCTCCTAGGAAGTTCTCCTTCTGGCTGTGTTTAACAGTAGACTACATGCAACCTGCAAAATCAAACATTTTTAAACCGATTTCATGAAAGACTAGCAAGATAGATCTTAGAGTTTTTCTTAAGCTGGTTATTTTCATTTTATTAATATCTTTTTAACTGTAAATGCACTTCATAAATATTATTTTTCTATTTAATTTCACATATAAAAATAAGTTTTAGGCAATTCTGAACTTAACATCACACTGTATGTTCTGTGAAATAGGACGTTACGTAATTTGGATAGTGTGTGAACACCTTATTACATACGGGCACTCCCTGGATTATAAGCAAGTTCCATTCCTAAATCTGCCTTTAAGTCAAATTTGTATATAAATAGGGCACTGTGGGTTAATGTGCTGGACTGCAAAGTCAGTTTGAGCTGCACGGTTGATGGTTCAAGTTTACTAGCTGCTCCTCGGAAGCCCTATACAGCGTTGCTATGGATCAGAACCGACTCAGTGGCACTTATCAACAACATTAAGGTTCATGTCTAATGTCAGTTAAGTCAGATGTCTGTCTTAATATATAATATATATGTACCTTTCTGTGCATAGACATTGAAGAAGCATTTCCAGTTGTGCTCCAACACCTTTAGCATGACACAGTAATAACAGGATGCTGGTGTGGCACTATAGGATAAACACTGGACATGCTGACTGAAAGGTCGATAGTCCAAACCGACCACCCTCAGAAACTTTACAGAGGGTCACTATGAGTTGGAACCAACTCTGTAACACTTAACAGCAACAACAACACAGTAATGATAACGTTGATGTGCTTTGCACAGTAGTGTCTGTTTTTTTTATTGTAAACAATGTGTGTGTGTGTACCTGGAATTTTGCATATAACAGACTTTATGGGGGTTGGGACCATAGATGTATATGTGGTTGGCCGTGGTCTGAATGGACATTATGTGGTGTGTGACTATAATGGCCTATTAGAGTATAAAGGGCATAGAAGATATTTGTAAAGTCTTCATAAAGACATTAAAGCACTGACAAGGTAATTCAGAATATTAGGCCAAATTTTAGAGAAACTTCAGACTCTCAGGGTCTTTCAAATGGTTAACACGCTCGTGGTTGGAGGTGTGAGTCCAGAGGCCCTTTGGAAGAAAGGCCTTGGGATCTGCTTCAGCAAAACCAGCCATTGGGAACCTTCTGGGGCACAGTTCTACTCTGACACACATGAGCTCACTGTGAGCTGGAACTGACTGGAAGATAATTTTGTTTCTGTTTTTTTTTTTAAAGATTAGATAGGAACTAGAAGGACTTTTGAATTAAATGTGTTTCCATGTCCACTTAACTCATAGCTGTGGATGGTCTCATGAGGGGTGGGGTTTCAAATCCAAACCCTGCTTAACAGGGCTTTAGTAGAAAATCTCTCAAATGAGGCTGGGTCACAAAGAGACATACTCTCCTTATTTCCAGCAGAGTGAGCAGAGAAATCCTTTGATTCTGAGCAAAGGAGGAAGAAAGGAAAAGAGAAAAAGAGAGGGAAGGAAGAAAAAAACAAAACGTATTCAGGATCTATATGTAGAGGGCTTCAGGGTGGTCATACTATTTTCTTGACAGTGATAGTTACAGCTTTTTGCATATGAATTTTTAGTTTTCATATGAAGCAATTGTGCACTCTACATATTTATCTAATAACTACCTGGCTTTCTTGATTTTCAGAAGGAGAAGTCTTTACCTGGGGGCATAATGCTTACAGCCAGCTGGGCAATGGGACAACTAACCATGGCTTAGTGCCCTATCACATCTCCACTAATTTGTCAAACAAACAAGTCATTGAAGTTGCCTGTGGAGCATACCATTCTCTGGTGCTAACGTCCGATGGAGAGGTGAGACTGGCCTGCAGGATTGTCTTTAAGATTATGTAGTCCCAGAAATAAGACCATTTGATTAAAATAACCATTTCCATCAAATTCACTCTTATCTTTGGTAGCCATTCATAGCCATGATGCTTCTAGTAAGATGTTTCCCAATATGTAGTGAGGATTTACATACCTGTAAAAATTTAAAAGGTATATTGTTCTTTTCCTATTGCTATAGTGAAGGAAGTTGTGTGCAAAAAGGAAAAGCCTGGACCATTGTAAACTCTGACAAAAGGCCAAGTAGATGTCTTCACAAGTGTTATGTTATATTTGACAATAATGGTGACTGCTAGTTTGCTGGAAGAGAACACTAACTTAATTTTAGGAAATAGCCCATTTTGTACAAATGTCTTCTATAAAAATGTCTCTGTTGTGAAAATTACTGTTTAGGAAACATGGAGAAGAAAGAGGGGGTATTGTAAATATCTTTTAGCATCCTCTTGAGGTACTTGATAAAATGATGTGTTTTCTGTATTGCTCTCATCTTTCTAATAGGTATTTGCCTGGGGTTATAATAACTCCGGGCAGGTGGGGTCTGGATCAACAGCAAATCAACCGATTCCTCGAAGAGTCACGAGCTACTTACAGAATAAAGTAGCTGTGAACATAGCATGTGGGCAGATGTGCTCTATGGCAGTAGTGGATACTGGGGAGGTAAGAGAGCTATTTCACTGATTGCTTAATGAATACTGATCTATGTCTTACCAGTGTGGCATGTTTCTCATACCGTGGGGCCTGGTTGCTCTTGTTGTTCTTGGTCAGTGAGTTTCTCGTTTTCTCTTAGGTGTATGTCTGGGGTTTCAATGGAAATGGGCAGCTTGGACTTGGCAGTAACAACAACCAGCCAACCCCTTGTAGAATAACAACTTTGCATGGCATTCGTGTCCAGCGGGTATGTCCACTCTTGGGGTGGGGTGTGTGTGCGTGTGAGCGCTTAAGTCGTTGGCAAGATGAGAAGTTTAGTTGTTTTTATGACTTCATTGAAGTAGAATCTTAGACCTCTTTTTCCCTGAGTTCAGTTGTGAAGTTTCAAAAAATTTATATTTCTCTCATGCACAGCTGGAAATTGCTACCTTTCTCAACTAAAATTTGGCAGTTTGTAGCAAGGTCCTTAAAAGTATTCATATTCTTGGCTTATAATTTGACTTCTAGAGAATTGCTGTAAAGGAATCAGAAAGTCCCTTAAATAATTAAACAGCAGAACTTTGATAACATGAATCAAAAATAATAAATGTAGAAAAATTTATCTTATAAAATAATAAGTTAGTTAATGATCAGATAAATTATGCTACAAATGTCTGGTAGACTAGACTACTAGTCAGTCATGAAAATGCTATTTACAGAGAATTTTGAATGATATGGGAAGGTGCTATATACATCATGTTAAGTGAAAAGAAACAAGATAGTTATTTTTTTAAAAAGCTAGAAGTACATATTTCTATTTTGTTGTTGTTGTTAAGTGCCATCGAGTCAGTTCAGACTCATAGTGACCCTGTATAGGGTTTTCAAGGATTGGCTGATGGGTTTGAACCGTCGAACTTGCAATTGGTAGTTCAGTGTCTATCCTACAGTGCCACAACCAGACCTATCTCTATATCTATGTATAAACAGAAAAACAAAACAAAACTATAAACCCATGGCATACCTTGGAGCATTACTATTTGTTGATCTTGATTTTATTTTAATTGTTCTACTTTTCTGTGTTTCTCACTTTGAACATGTTTTTAACTTTTATAATCAGAAAAAATAATTTAAAAATAAACAATGTTTATTCATGTAATCCTTAGCATTATGGAGTCCTTGCATGGTGCAAATGGTTAAGTGCTCAGCTACTAACTGAAATGTTGGCATTTCAAATGCTCAAGATGCCTCAAAAAAAGGCCTGGTAATCTACTTCTAAAAAATCGTCATTAAAAATCATGTGGAGCACAGTTCTCTTCTCACACATGTGGGATCACCATGACTTAAGTCCACTTGATGGCAACTGGTGTGATATTTTTGGTTTATAATTATCCAAACTCCCCTCCTCCACCCAACTCTGTCAAATAATGAATGTCATTTTAAATCTGAATAAACTGGGTCTAAGCAAGCTACAGGGCTCACGTTGATCTTACTGTAATCCAGCAGGATCTGTGGCCAGTGCTAGAATTCTGGAGGGAAATTGGTTAATTTACTACTGCCTTTCTGGGCAGACTGCCTCTTCCCGTGTTCTTTGAATCTTAGCCTACCTAGCTTGTGGAAGCATTATTTCTTCTGTTTGCAGGCCTGAGTGGACTTGCTTTTTCTCTCTCCAGGTTGCCTGTGGCTACGCACACACATTAGTTTTAACAGATGAAGGCCAAGTGTATGCTTGGGGTGCAAATTCTTACGGCCAGTTGGGCACTGGCAATAAAAGTAACCAGTCCTACCCTACCCCTGTCGTTGTGGAAAAGGACAGGTAATGCATACATTTTCACAGTAGCCCCAGTATTCTTCAGTGAGTACACAGTGCTTAGACATGTTATAAGTTGTGGAAATTTTATAGCTGGTGTTGTTAGGATATTTTTGCTTTAACAGTACTGTTACTCCTTGTTAAAAATTGGCTTTTGAGTTTCTGGAGAGGTTGACTATATATTAAGCATTCTGTTTTTCACTCATCCATATTGCGTTTGTACCTCCAGCAGCTGCTCTATACAAACTGAGATGATTTAATTACTTACCGCTGTTTTATAAGCTTTCCATCCCTCTCATGTTACCCTTCCCCTCTTCTTTGTTTTCTGACTTGTTAAGAGGATGTTGTTAAGGATGGGAATCTATCTTCTGTGGTTTAGGAAAAGGAAAGTACCTCAGGTGAAGTATAAAGGCAGTCACTCAGCTACTTATGAAAATTACCAGTTAAAAAGCATAGGATTATTTCATTACTTTGAATCCAAAACAATCTCAATGAGGAAGAGTGAAATGACTAAAAAGTTAACACTAATTTTGGGCACGTGTTCACACGGTGGTTGTTGTTGTTACATGCCATCGAGTTGGTTCCAAGTCCTAAAACCTTATTTCTGAGGAGAGGCTGGTGGATTTGAACAGCTGACCCTTGTGGTTAGCAGTCCAGTGCTTAACCTAGAGTGCCACACCAGTTGTGCTGTGTAATTATTTTCTGAATTATCCTAATGATGTGTTTGAAGGCCTTTTGAATTTCCCAAACACGGCCATGTTGCTGCCTTCTCATGTTCTCATTTCCTGATACAGTGTTGTTGTTAAGTGCCGGAGAGTCAGTTCTGATAAATAGCATCCCTGAATAGGGTTTCAAGGAGCAGCTGGTGAGTTTGAACCACCAGCCTATGACTATCAAGGTTGACTGCAGAGCCACAACAGGACTCTTCCTGATGTAGCCTAGAGCAAAAACATCTTATTTTCTTTTTTTAAAAACCAGGGTTGTAATCACTTTAGAAGTCAATACTGCTATTTTTATTTCACATAGTAATTTTATTATCTTTAACTTAAAAATCAACATGGATAAATAGATGATCTTGCAATCTGCTGTTCTTCTATTGGATTACCTACTGAAAGTGAAGAACTAAAACAGTCATTTTTCAGCTATAATACTTGGTTTTCATTTGAGTATTGTGAATCATGCCTATTTTGTTTTACTTATGTTAAGTTATGTAAAACTGTTTTTTTCCCCCAGAACATTTTAGAATACGAGCCTTTGCCTCTTCAGAATTAGAGTTGAGGTAATGTGGGTTATTGTTGTTAAGTGCCTTCGAGTCGGATCCGACCCATAGCGACCCTGTACAGGGTTTCCGAGGGTGTAAATCTTTACGGGAGTTGAAAGCCCGATCTTTCTCCCGTGGAGCAACTGGTAGTTTCGAACCGCTGACCTTAAGGTTCGCAGCCCAATTCGTAAGTACTACGCTAATGTGGGTTAGGACCTGGTATATAATAAAGTAGCAATTCATTTGCATTTCTGTTAAAAGGCAGTTGTTGTTGGTTAAGTACCATCAAGTCAGTTCCAACATCATCCAACACTTGATGTATTAAGGTTTCCAAGGAGCAGCTGGTGGGTTTGAACCACCAACCTTGTGGTTAGCAGTCCAGTGCTGATCCTGCATCACCACACCAGAACTCCAAAAGGTAGGTTGTTGTTGTTAAGTGCCGTCGAGTCAGTTCCAACCCAAAGCAACCTTGTATAGAGTTTCTGAAGACACCTGGTGAGCTTGAACTGCCAACCTTGCAGTTCAAATGGCTTTGCAGTCTGGTGCAGTAACCCACAGCACCACACCAGGACTCCAAAAGGTAGGTTGTTGTTGTTTGTTGTTGTTGTTGTTGTTGTTGTTGTTTGCCATGGAGTTGGTTCCGACTCATAGTGACCCATACAGGGTTTCTGAGGCTGTAAATCTTTACGGGAGCACAAAGGCTCATCTTTCTCCCACGGAACAGCTGGGAGTTTCAAACTGCTGACCATGAGATTAGCAGCCTGATTCGTAACCACTACGTTACCAGAGCTCCTTAAAAGGTAGGTAGAGCCACTCAATAAAAAGAGAAGGGATTGTTTTAGGGCTCTGAATAATCAGAAAACTGCCTCAGGCTAGCCAATCTAGTCACTAGGGACATTTCATGTTCAGACTGAACAACAAGACGTACTAAAGGATCAAATAAAAGCTGCCTGAAGCAACACAGAAATAAAGTGATGTCTACATGTTACTTACCACACTTAAAGGAGCCCTGGTGGCACTATAGGATAAGCACTGGACTGCTAACTACAAGGTCTGTCGTTCAAACCCACCAGCCACACTCCTGGGAAGAAAGATGAGGCTTTCTGCTCCTATAAAGATTTACAACCTTAGAACCCTGAAGAGGGTGCTGTGAGTCAGAACGAACTCAGTGGTAGTGGATTTGGTTGTTTTGTTTTGCTGTATTTTAAGGAGACCTGGTGACAAAGTATTGGCCTACTAACTGCAAAGTTGCCATTCAAAACCCACCAGCTACTCCCAGGGAGAAAGATGAGGCAGGCTGTCTGCCCCTCATGTAAAGATTTATAGGCTCAGAAACCCTAAGAGCAGTTCTACTCTGACCTATAGGGCGCATCGGAGTTGAATTTGTTCAGTGACAGTGATTTTTGTTGTATTTAGGAGTCTCTGGGTGGGATTAACCAACTTGAAGTTCTGAGTCTTCCCAGAGGTGTCTGGGGAGAACTTTTCTGACGATCTTCTGAGAAATCAGCTGTTGGGAAAAAACCCTGTGGAGCATAGCTCTGTTCTCATACAAATGGGGTTGACATGAGTTGGAATTACCATTTGTAGGGTTCTTTCACACTTAGCATAAACTAACTCATTTGACATAGACTCTCAAAATCTTTGGCCATCCACCCAGTGGGGACTTGCCTTGGGTTGCCCTGCAGACTGACTCAGAATGAGAGCTCAGGTGTTCAGACTCCGGTTCAAGTTGGACCTGATGGTGCCAATACAGTAAAGAGGACTTGTGGGACCTTGAGGAGGGAGAAAGCTAGAGTAACAGAGCAGCAGGCACGTGAGCACCAAGAGGCTCGTCATAGTTCACCCACAGCTGATCCTATTTTTAATTATAAATGTCAAAGAAGTGGACGAAGCTGCATTCTTACTGCCCGCATAAACATTATTTTTGCTATCACACTATGGATGAATGTTTTAGATGAAACCTTTCTGTTTCTCTGAGCTGTCCATGCCTCATGTCTGCGTCTGCACAGGGTTCGTCAGGCCCCAAGCACAGGGAGGGAGTAAGTCCTTGCTAGGACTTGTTCTGCACCTAGTCACTCTTTCCCATGACCGGCACCTTATGAATTCCTTATGATTTATCACACAGGAAACCTTACCTGACTCTTTTTTGAAGCTGTGACAGGGAAACTCAACAACAGGATTGAATTTGGGGTGGGATGGATCTTCAGGTCTCAGAGTTGCCTTTTCATAGGAAGGTGGAAAATGAAAGTCTATCTACATTGTATTGTCTAGTCAAACAACAACCTAAGGGAACCCTTTTAAAGATCTTTCCTAGAGGACTATATGTATAATGAAGGATGCTAATATTTGTCAGCAATTTATGTTCATATAAAATTAATTTTAATAGTCAAAATAGTTCCATTTTTAAAATTTATTATTGTGTTCTAACAACCTAATCATTCCCAATCTATTTGAAGTTTCAGCACCTTGATATTTGATTTGCCAGCATTTGTGTCTTTATTCTAAAGATTCTATAAAAGCATGTTTTAAGTTAAATTTATTTAAAACTAGCTTGCCTTGAATTCTTTTAATTTTATGACTTGCTTAGGTAACTGACAAAATTTTGTTAAGTGCCGTCAAGTTGGTTCTGACTCATAACTACCCTGTATGGAGTTTCCGAGGAGTGGCTGGTGGGTTTGAACAGCCAACCTTGCGGGTAGCAATCCGGTGCTTATCCTACAGTGCCACATCAGTCAGAACTTTGGGTTGTACCAAACTCGGATTGGGAGGCACTGCTCTGGTTTTTTTTAGTATCAACATTCCTTCTACAGAATCTTTCCTCACGTATTACTTTTTCTCCCTCTCACTGTTTTCTGCCAGCATTCTCTTCTTCTCTCTGCTTTTTCATTTCTAGTACTTCTGAATCCTTAAACTCTGTGGGTGTTGTGGCTGTGTAGTCATTTTTTGCAATCGTGTCTAATAAGATGTGAAATATTCTGGCAGTAATGGTTAGTTCCGTTTGTTATAGTCACCGGCTGTTGCATGGAAGAACTGGGAAACTTGTGAATCGGAATCTGTTAGTTGGTTGCATCACAAGTAAAAGGAGATGGCCTCAGGCACAGGCAGTACCCTGCCTGGACCTGAAGGTTCACTCTCATTCCTATGGCAGCTACTGTGGTCAGTCACACCTGTGTCCCATCCTGACTTCCCAGGTAAACCCTAGAGGCTGCGCTGACGGAAGGCCTGTGTCGTGCACCTCCTGCTTCCTGGCCCTCTGCTCTGTCTGCTCCCAGCCACTTTCCCCATCAGTGGCCCTGCCTCAGACGCATCAGCCCCTGTCATGGCTGAGGCAGCTCCTCTTCATAAAGGCTAACAATAAGCATTTCTGAAGTGGATGTAGGAAAAGCATATGAGCACAGCCCTGAAGTTTCAATTATTTAAATGTTCTAGTGCTGGGTAGATTAACAGAGATGGGCCCTATTGTATTCCAGTCAACTGCATTTTTTATAGAGCATTATCAGGAAAAAGGGAGGCTGTTTACATTTTGGAATCCCTGGGTAGTACAAGTAGTTAATGTGCTTAGCTGTTAACCGAAAGATAGAAGGTTCAGAGTACCCGGAGGCGCCCAGGAAGAATGACATGATAATATATATATTTTTTTTATCTTAGCTGTTGTAAACCTTAGGGAGCACAGTTCTACTCTCACAGACATGTGGAGGACAGCTGATTTGGTTAACCAGTATTTTACGTGATCTCTCAAAGGGCA